ACCATATCATAGTAAATGGAAGGTTTTGTCTTACCGTGCAAAATTTTATTTCTTGCAGAAGAGAGGAAAAGCCGCTTAATTCAACAAGCGAAATCCCAAAACTATCATAAACTGGGAGTTCATTAGTAGGTTGTTAGGAAAATTCCATTCTTGATAACATCAGCAAAGAATACGATCGGCTTATTCAGTACCTTCACGTTAGCACTGTGAAAAATACGAAACGAAAAAATATGCGAGTCTCCAAGAGGGGTCCATCGCCAGAAACGCTCAAGCTGTTAGGCCACCATGGAATTACGAGTACAAGTTAAAAGCAAACGCCTACTAACACCCAAACTTGCAAAAGATTACAAAAAGCGATAAAAAAAAACATAAAAGAAAAGATAAAAGATACCTTAAACAAAAAACGGCAGCAGTTACGGTTGAAATTGCAGAGGCAAAGAAAACCACTAGCAAAGTACACCGGAGATTTGCCAATTATAAAACTAAGATGACTATAATCTGACGCCCAGACGGAACGATTATAGCTTTCAGAAAGACAAAGCAGAAAATCACTCACGATGACTACTGAGATCTCCTCAATAGCCACGTCCTCCTGCCCTCATATGAAATAAACATTCTATTTTGTCAGTGAAGAAACGAACAACACCTGGTCAGCACACGATAACATCTGAACACCTGGAAAACCCCTCCCGTCCCCATAAACACTTTGCATAGACTCTTAACAAGCTATCTGTCAGAATGCAATCCAGTGGAAGACCAGAGAGACTGTGCTGTTGTTCAAAAAGAGAGACCTCCACGATTTCTGCAACTATCGCTCAATCTACTTGCTGTCTGTCACCTACAAACTTTTCACTTGAGTTATTCCAAATACGATTGAAAGAACACTGGACGAAGGACAGCCATGTGAGCAAGCAGAGTTTCGAAAACGATTCAGTACAATAAACCATATCTACACGATAACAAGACTCTTAGAAGCATCGCGAGACAACAAGATACCATTATGTCTCACTTTCCTCGGAAGCAGTCATGGAAGTTCTGGACAACCCAGCGAGAAAGTCCCTACTCCGTATACAAGGATTCCTTGTAGCAATGTAAAAACTTTACAACTAGAACACCACCATTCGACAACGATATTAACATCGACGTCAAAAGAGGGGTTAGGCAAGACGATACAATCTCGCCAAAATTATTTACGCCACTCACCAGAACGTCATGCAAACATTGGAATGGGATAATATGGGAGTGAAAATCAATGGTCGACAATTACACTATCTTCGCTTCGCTGATGACATCGCCCTTATAACAGCAAACATTAGCCGACCGGTACGAATGCTTGCCGGCTTCGAAAAAGCCTGTGGAATGATTTGCTTTCGACTCAATCTCACAAAAACGCTGTTCATGAGGAACGGACACGTTTCCTATGCTCCATTCACACTCAACAGAATTAATATCTCTGAATGCTCCAGTTACGCCTATCTAGGCCGGGAAATCAACATACGCGATGAACGACTTAGCTCTGGAGTTTAATAGGAGGAAGCGAGCGGCTTGGGGTGCTTTCAAAAGCCTCGACGATGAAGTGAGGAGAACAAAGTGTGTCCAACTCTGTACCCACCTTTTCAACTTCACGATATTTCCTACCTTAACGTGTGGGTGCATCGGATACTTGGTCGCTGAGTAGGCAGAAAGGAAGACTACCTCAGCGTTATTGAACGTGTAGTCGAAAGGACGGTGCTAGTAGTATCCCATGTCACGCAAGAATGGGAAGAGATCCGAAGCTCCGACATGCGTCAACGATCAAAAATCAAAGACGCCGTTCTGTACGCCACACAGTCGAAGACAAGGTGGGCCGGAAACATAATGCGTATGGACGACAACCGATGGAAAAGAGCCGTTAGTGTAGAGTTCTTCACGAAAGCCCTAGAGGAAAGCTGTGTTGTTCATCGGGTCCTTAGAGCGAGTAGAAACCAACGGTTACTCTTGTGTGCATCAGGGAAAAATGAAAGATTTAGTGGCGCCCGCTCGAGTAACGCGACGATCAATGGGACGACAAGTAATACAAAGTGATTTAATCCATAAGAAATTAAACTAGAACAATGTCAATTTTTATTTATTTCCCATTACAATTTCTTCACGGCAGGGTGTTATGTGTGGTACAACCACAATGATGCTGAGATATTTCCAAAACTCCGGATCGCAGGTGTCTACGGTGGGGAGCGAACGCGCTATTACCCTTTCCGGGGGTTAACGTGCTCACCACCACACCATGCGGATCTCTGTGCTTGTTGTATCACACATAATATCCTGGTGTGAAAAAATTGCAATAAATAGGCATTGAATAAGTTTGAACACCTGTAGATATGGTCATGCGAAAAATGTAACGCTAGTTAGTGGTATATGCAATGAATGCACTAAAGTGAAAAAAAGTGAACGGAACCTTTGTGTGGAAGTCATCTAGTCGTTTTAGTTTCTTCTAAGAGACTAAATTGTACCTATGGACGATTCTAATAACCGATGGTTTTGTTTACAAGTTTAGTAACAAAAGAAATACGTTATTAACATTCAACTAATAGGTTTACAATTAAGCGAATTGCTCGCCCTTTTGGAAAAAGTTCACCAATATTAGTAATCTCCTCATCGCACACACTTCAGTCACCGCATTGTTGTCGTCCTCAATCGTGTCGTCGCGCGAGGAATTCGTTTCGCACTTCTCTTTCTCTATCGTTCTCATTGCCATCTTAATCAATCTGATCTGCTTCTCCGACTTCTTTCACTGACCTTTCTGAAGACGACACTCACCTCCTCGGTGATCTCGCCTAGGTTGCTCGGTATATTCAGTAGTTGATCCAGTGTGACGACAGTTAGATCTTGTGATGTAACTTTCGGTCTAAAATTAATCAAATATGAAAGATTGAAGCATTCACAACAGTCAGTGCCGTGAGAAAGATATTAGTTAAAATATTAGTTCTTGTATCACAGTTTTGCGTAGTGTTCCAGTCTTTTTCAAGATCATGAGTTCCAACGGACGTGTACTGAATGCCTCGCTCTTAAAATCTAAGGGGTCAAGCACACTTCGATTCCAACATCCATCGATCTTAATATTGTTCCCAGCAGTACTCTCTTAGTATTTCATACTGGTCTGGTTTCCTGTGAAAGGTTGATAAAGTGTTGACGTGGAGAGCGACCTCGACCACGTGAATTCAATCGTTGAGTTGTCGCTAAAAGATTTAAGAGCCACCGCAACGAATTTCGATGATTTGGAAAGTTTTTGTCTCCTTGTATCTCATAACGAAATACTGTTTAGTCTTGCAATAGGAAAGACTCTTCTTTACAAATCAATATCTCACAGCTCGCAAAATTAGGCAGTAATGCTACTTTATGGTTGGCTTTTGATTAGTGGTTTCACGACAACGCAAACTTACAGCGAACATGTATTCCAGATGTAGCACTGGGCATGTTCTCCGCCTGCTTCCCAGTCTAATTTCATAGAGCAAGTGAAGTTCTCCTTTTTAAACAACTGCAGCAGTAGGTTCCGTAACAAAGTGTAGTCTGTAAAAATCAAAGACGGGGTTGGTAACAACTGTGTACAGAAACAGGTCGCCAAAAAGTTCTTACTTCTGCGCAAGAAGTACTGTTTCAGACAATTTATGTAACAGCTTAAAGGATGAAGGATAAAGCTCCCGGCGTTGATCAATCCCTTTAGGGATGCGCCGTGCATTCGACCTCATTAAGTATCGTTGCAGGTGATTGAATGCATATCTGCTCTTTACAATGACTCGCAGTGGTATAGCGATGTATCGAGTCAGTGCTGCTATCTTCCCAGACCAGTCTGGTACCAATTTGCCGACCCAGCAGGGATGGAAGGCTTGGTGGGCTATGGGCACGGGGGTCGATTGCACGTGTGTTGCAGAGCGCCACCGATCACTGAACCACACGCGCCCATGTAAGAGCTTCATGTAACAGCTCACATAGAGAAAAGGTATGCGTACAATGAAAGAAGAATGCATTGGTAACAAAGCAGTTTCTGCACATTCAAGAATTCAATCGAATGTATAGCTATTTGTTGCGTTACCCGGAAAGAAGAGGAATTGACCTGTCAAAAACGTTCATGAAAATCAGGAACTGGGACGAACAAATATGACATGGATAAAGGTTCAAGTTCTGTACGCTTGGTTCAAACAAACTTCACTATAGATGATTCCAGCACAACAAGTCCTTGAACCTTTCTGTAAAAAGGTGATTTGATTGAATTTTTTTTCATTTCTACTGATGTGTTTTAACATGAAGACGTGCTTGGTGCTCGTAGCGCAATGGTAGTGTTACCTTTGAAAGGCACTGTCTTTGTGTCAGAAGAGCCTACTCCACCAGCATTCAATGAAGTTTATGACGAAAACCGGAAATCCTAGCGTAGCAGATAAAATCAAATGCAAATCCGAAAAGGTTCAAGCACGATGGATGGAAGGGAACGAATCGAATGGAAGAAGAACCGGGATCCGCGCAATATGCAACGTCGGGTCATGCGAAAAAAAGTTTAGAGTGATGAAGTGCGTGAATGTACATTGTGAGGAAACCGTAAAAAAATTTTCTACAGCGACCTACTGCCTACAAACTACTCAGTTGAACGTTTTTAAAAGACTGCTTGTTTATAAATGTAGTAGCAGATTCATAAATCAAGTATTAACAGATTACCAGGCAGATCCCGTTGATGGGTGAATGCTGATGGCACTTATAGACAGAGCTAGGTGAGAGACAGGCGAAATGAAGGAGCCACATGGTGTGGTGGTGAACGCGTTAGCCTCTAGCAAGGGTAACAGCGCTTTCTTTCCCCACCGTAGCCACCTGCGGCCCGGAGTTTTGGAAATATCTCAGAAACATTGTGGTTATTAACAGGGTTCCCTACAATTTTTTTTCGTATTACAATGATGTTGTTAGTAGTAACAGGTATAAGAGTTTTGGAAAGATTTGCAGAGATATTTATATTAAAGAAAAAATAAACTGAGTAATTAATCGTGCTTGAAAATTTTGTTGTGATATCTAGATAGAAACATCAATATGAAGAAGATTCTCCAAATTTGATGTTTCTTCATCCGCAAAGTTTTAAAAGTCTTTCCAATGGAGTTTGGATGTGTTTCTGTGCATTTGCTTCGCAACTTAGCAAACATGAAGTCATAAAAGTCATCTGGCCACAGAACCACAGTTATACCTGGAGCGATCGCATAAGTGAGTTGTTTCAGGTGAACAACAAAGAGCTCGAACTCTTTGGGACATTGTTCCAGAAGATCGGCTTCTTTCAAGGTTTTTTCGCGCTCGGTCTGTCCGTGATCTGTCATGTTTTTCCTGTAAACAAAACACCGAAATAAATTAAACCTAAAAATGGGTGACCTAAACTCTCAGTAGACGGCAACTCTATAGGTGACTTGATTTAACTGAGAAAAGAACTGTATCAAGTGAAACCCAAACAACACCCTAGTGCGCACTATTTGCATCGGAGAGCGGTGACAAAACTTAGTAAATACAATCGTTGAGAAAGTCCTAAATGCTTAAATACCGCTTGAGGCTATAAAAAACGTCGAAATTCTGTTAGAACTGAGAATGATCACTTCATTCCTGCAAAAGTTCTATACAGATTGCTTGTAAAACTCCAGAGGGGACTTCTGAAACGTAGTACAAAAGGCAGTCATCTCAGTTACTAGTTACCTAAATGTGCAGAAAAAATTCATCGTTTGTTCAAAACCTGATGGGCGTCAGATCTCTGGTTGAGAAGTCAAAGAACCAAACAACTTCATCAGAAATGAAACAGATAGCAACGCAGTAGTGTTCATCTTGTTTCCACTGTATGTGTAAATTATGTTAGCAACACATTCAAAACGAAATCTGAAGAGGAACGATAAGAGGTTAACGTTGTTCCACAGAAAGGTCGTTTACGGTTTCATTAATCTCGAGCTTTATTTTTAACCCATCGTTCACCTTCTTAATGCTCACCATGGAAGACTGCCGATAAGCATTTCGACGAGCATGTAGAAGAGTGACCAGAGGTCGTCATGCCGACCCTGCTCTTCCCGACTGTGGGCATTGACAGAACAGTAGCGTTTCGTTCCTCTAAAAAAAAACTCTGCGAAAATTTTTGTCTTTGTTTTGCTTTTCTAACTACTTTTCACTGAACAATTTGTTGTTGAAAAGGTGTTATCTCATTGTTAACCCATCTAATTCAACCATGACCTGGACTCTTCTGTGACATGTGACATGTGACCTCGTAGCGGATTAATCTCCAAGGAATAATACAAGATTTGTTTAATCTTGTTGTGCTACATTTTATGGGTGGTAAAAAAAGACAAAAGGATAAAGCTCTCGGCGTTGATAAATTCCTTGCGGGTGCTCCATCCAATCGACTTCACTCAGCACCGTTTGCAGTTGATTGAATGCATATCTGGCCTTTACAATGATTGGCGGTGGCTGGCCTACCGATGTATCGAGCCAGTGATACTATGCTCCCAGACAGGTCTGATACCAATCTGCCAATAGCGGACGAATGGAGGACGTGGTGTGCCAGGTGCGCGGGATACCATTTATATTTCAAGGCACCTCCGACCACTGCACCACACGCACCCATTTTGTTGGTGTTGGATGATAATAAAACTTTTGTCCAGCATGGAACTGGTGTGAACCTTTTCAATGATGAGATGGTAGTCGGGTTCCTTCAGCGAAAGTATTATTGGTACATAAATTCTATCCTTCACCTGGAGATATGCGACCGACACGCGTGTGGGACGTCTATTACATCCACAAACAGCGAAACTATCGTTCTTGGAAAAACATAGACGTAGAATAGATACGGTGCTATCCCCATACATTGTTGAAAAACATGTCCATTTAGAACAAGTTTAAAGTACATTATTATAGAGAACCCGCTTTCCAATTAATGCAAATGCATAAAGGATTTCTCTGCACATATTAACATGTGCGTTAATATCTTCAACTACATGGCACTTATTTTTAGTGTCTCTCTCCTTTCGTTTATTTCGATAAATGTAGATAAACAAATGCATAGAAGACAATCTTTAGTAATCTAAGAATATAGGAGATTGAATGGCTGTTCACTGTTAACTAAGAAGATAATAACGCGGTTTTTTTCATGACCAGACACCACATGTTGTGCGGATTCCCGTACTTTTTTAATTCGATTGGATATCTTGGATCCATTATCAATGATGGCCTTCGAACTTTTTTTGCATATTGGTTCAGCTGCTACATGAAGATTTTACTTGATACTTGATACTTGAACGGCCTGTCCTCACTGGTTGTGCGGGCCGCAGCATAATGTCCATTTTTCGGAGATTTGCTGGCTAAGACATTGTTGTTTCCTGGAATCCCGAAGTCAGCCGGGCCACATTTTGCTCCAAATCTTCACCACTTCAGGCAGTCGTAAGCCTTATGAATCGGAGGAAGATTTGTCACTATACTAGTTTGACACCAGGCCGGTAGTGGTTTCTGGTGGTGGTTTACTCTTAGCTAGGCTTCCTAATGAAAACGCCGGACTCTGCCTCAGCTTGGGAGACCCTGCCAGGGAAATGAATCCCCGCGTTGTACACCACAGTCCGACACCCTGGAACACCTTCCAGCCACGATGAGGCGGTAAGCCTTTGAGAGGTCTTGAAGATTTCATCTTCATTAATGTCACTAAATGCTGGATATGTACATTGTTCTTGGAATCCTTGGTTAGCCTTGCTAGAGCGTTCCCATGTTTTCACCACGAGACGTTTTCAACCGCTATGAATCGGAGGAAGCCTTCTCCAGATATGTTCTGGTCACAAGGAAAAGAGGCTTGGTTACACTGGAAAATGCTGAACCGTGGTCTTACGCGTACTGAACGATATGTCCATCACTGTGCTATCTACGCTACAAGAATACGGTTTCTATTATAAATTTTCGCGTTTTTCTAAATACTGAAGTTTTTCTCAATGTGACTTTTAGGTAAACTATTCTTTTACCTGAACTGTACAAGTTTTCGTGGATTCCGAAGCGCTTCCTTACCGTCCGGAGTTACCTTCTGAAAGATTCATCAGATTTTTGAGTGACTTCACTAAATGAGATTTTTTGTAGAACATTCTGTAGAAGCGTACTCTGAATGATCTTGCTAAACCGAAATCAAGAATGTAGATAAGTTTTTCTTTCGGTGTTCCTGGTAATCCAATCGCATAATTGGACGGTTTCACGTCACGGTGGACAAAGCTAAAGCTCTTCTATTTCGCTGCCACTGTTCATTAGTTTTATGCTAGCCTAGTGTCCATTGTATGAACAACTTAGTTTCAGTTACGAACTAACCCAGCGTCATGGACTTCTTTGAGTGAGTCCACAGCCTGCACTGCGACAACGGTAACGGTGAATAATGTGAACTTCTAAATAAATTCGATCTGTCACGGTGTTTCGGATTAGAACAGTAAACTTTCAACGGTTTACAGTTCGTGAGTTGCCCACAAGGTCACCCCTTAGCTGCTTCTAAAACTCACCGATCGGAGGAGGGTGTATTATTCTGAATTCCTTTGCAAAAAAAGTCGGCTGTTCTCGTTTCGGATAACTTTGCAGGGAAATGAATCCCAACTATAAATTACAATTCGGCGCATGGAGGGATGCGAGGCAGCGAACGAGGAAAGAAGGAATAACACATATGTCATCTAGAAATTATTAAAGCGCTCCTATTTCAAGTACTTTTTACTTAATTTACGTACAAGCTGACGTTTCAGCGGATTTCGCCTTCCTCAGAGCCTAGAAGAGTCAAGTTGACTGCAATCTACACGGTGTTTGGCCGTGTAGATTGCAGTCAACTTGACCTTTCCAGGCTCTGAGGAAGGCGAAATCCGCCGAAACGTTAGCTTGTACGTAAATAAAGAAAAGTAGAAAGAATTCTTCAATCAATGCCGAGGTTAATAGAAAGTCGGACGTGGGAGTTACTTTTTACTTACTTCTCAATTCATCTGATCACAAAAATAAGCCTACCTGGGTTTGAATGACTTTGCGTAAGTCGCTGATAGACGGTCCAAGTAAGCTCATTACCATGAAGTTATAGTTATCAAACTAAAATTGGATTAGAACCATACAGAGCTGGGTTGTTATGCGTGTATGCAAGTTGTTATGGTATTTATTATCATTTTTATTATTTGTTGCTATTATTGCTGTTATTATACCAACTAGTGTTATGTTAATTATCACCATAATTGCTGTGAGGGCGCGTATGCCGCAGTGGTCGGAGGCGCCGTACAACACACACGTGGAATCGATCCCCGTGCCCATGACCCGCCAAGCCTTCCATCCCTTCGGGGCCGGTGAATTGGTGCCAGTCCTGTCTGGAAGGTTAGCAACACTGGCTCGATATATCAGTAGGCCACCGCGAGTCATGGCCAGATATGCATTCAATCACCTCGAACGTTACTTAACAAAGTCGAATGCTTGACGCATCCCTAAAGGATTGATCAATTCCGAAAGCTTCATCCTTTTATCATTTCATACGGCCAATTCGTTATCAGCACTTTGTCATTCTACAGTGAGATGTTTACTGATGTAAAAAGAGACATGAGACGCTGGTTTAGTCTCGACAAAGTTGTTCAACGCCAGTTAACATCAATGCAATGCTCATAAGCAAGCACATTTAGTTAGAATGAGTGGAATACAAAATTCGACGTCGCATGTGGAAGAGCCAGTATTGGTTCTAAGAAGACAACAATAGGTAAGCACGGATTTTTCCTCCGATGCTCCATTCCCTGCGACCGGACGAACATCTTCGGAGAACCCAGCTCTGTGATATGTATGAGTCGTGTACGAGGCTAGTGCTGGAGAGCGGGCAGCTAAGGCGTTCGAGAGTACCAAAGATTAACAAAGAGAACAAACCATCCATTCTCAACATTTCAACAATTCAGTTGTTGATGTGCTGCACAAAGCAGAGAGTAATTCAGATTTTATTACAAAGACCTTGGATCCTTAAAAATATGGGCTTGTTGTCCCTTGAGAGATTTGAAGTCACTGAGTAACTCATCCACATGACTGGGACTTCTTTAATCGTTCAAAGTTAACCGTGACGACAGCTGGCAAGTAATTCAACTCGACAAGCTAAGGGTAAACTTTCCATCCAAAATTTTGTTTATGACATAATATAAAAAGTTTTTTCTTTAATGTTGGAACAATAATTACTGCGTGATTTCTTGATAGACATACTTTACCACTCTCAATCCACATTGGACAATGAATTGCATTGTTTTTGTTGATCTTTCTCAACACTTTCTCTTCCATTTTTAGGTATTCTTCTTCATGTCCACTATCAGAATTCTCCGCCTTAAAACCTTACAACTTTGCTCAAGCATATTTTTGTATAGTTACGATGACCAACTTTGAAAGCAAAGCGTCGATGAGGTGACTCGATGAGTGCTACCTCGTAGATCACTCCACATCCGCCTTCACCCAGCTTTCGACAAGCCTAAAAACGTTCAGAACAGAATATCGACTCTGTCGAGTTTGTAAGCAGTAAATACGGCAGTTCTGGTGGCCTAATATAGCACAGCTCTCGTATTCTTTTACGAAATACACTAATTAGAGAAAAACACGTACAATGTACTTTCCTTTGATGATGGCGGCTAGTTGTAGGTTAACCTTCGATCTTCCCATGAAGTGAGTATGATCGGCCGGTAACAGTGAAAATATCGAAACGTGATGTCCTTTTATACGAACTGAGTGAGGATAACAACAAGGTAAACAGTCTATCAAATCGCTACTAAGTGCTTCTTATACAGCCCGCCAATTTTCGGTTGGTTGTTCCCTGTAAATTTTGTATAATCTAACTGTCGGTTTGGCAATTCAAAACACTTATCCATCTGTTC